TCCAGGCTTAAAGCCACACTGATATGGTAAAATCAGAGTGTTGACGGTGGGCTTTAATCTTTTACACAATACGCTCGATAGAACCTTATGTGCGATGTTGAAAAGATTTAGCGCTCGATAGTTCGCGTCAATTGTGGGGTCTCCCTTTTTGTGGATTGAGCAGAGCACAGTTAAGTTTAATCGTCGGACTTATCAGTTCTTCGCCGGCGATATTAGATTTCCAAATGAGGTAATATCTCACCTAACCTCACTTAATATTAAGTCATATTTTTAATTTCCTTGAAGTGGTTATGCTTGCGAAGGTGACCTGAACGATGAAAGATAGTTATGTGGGTGTCACTTTAGCTGTAGAAATAACAGCGCAGAAAATATGCGAATATCCTTTAAAGAGAGTATATTTCTAATGAATAATGAGGTTTGCTCGCTTCTGTTTTGGAAATTTCGAAAATTCGATTTACGCTGATGAAAGCTTTACTCTGATGGAATAAATTCTCCAGCGGAAAAATGGCAAAACACAATATAAAAAAGAAGTTGAAGTCTTTTTCTACTACCAATATTATTGTAGACACTTTTCGGGTACAAAAAAGTACCGTCAATCTTCCAAGATCAAGTTCGAATAAAGCGAACGGTACTTTAGAGGTAAACATATCAAAAGTAACGTGAAGTTCCTTTGTGACTAATCGGACAGGCATCTTAAACTTGGGAACCAACCTAATGGCAACTAAACAAAATAGAGCATTCACGCACATATAACAGTAAATGTGTTTAATACATATTGACATACCTATGGGTATGAATATTCATTTCATTTCTGCTCCCACTTAGTTGTCTGTATGTATATAAATAGGTAAGCGTGATTTGCGCATTAATTTCATGCCTCACAGGTGTGCAAGTATACATATCACTCGAACACTTGCTATTTATATATGCCTATGCATGAATATATCCTAGATCCTAGTATAAGAATTCTATTTAATTCCTTTGAAATTATTCTTGTAAATATATATGAATGTATAACTTATATTGGTCATTATAATACGCTCTATCATCTATCTATGTATGTATATGGCATGTGACGTTTATAGTGGGACATAATTCATTGAATTTTGAACACAGTTTATTTATAGTGAATGGCTAGAACATGTGGGCGATGTGGTGAATTGTTAAATTATCAAAGAATAATTTTGGTTTGCCTGCAAAATACATCGATGCCTATATTTGATTTCGATATTTGATACTGAGCATATGTCTTTGATTACACGGTGTATCGATGGCCTATGTGTATCTGGATAAAAGCGAAAACATCAGTGCACATACATATGAATGTATATAGTATCACCATTGCTACCAGGTTTATTTGTTGTTGTTGTTGTGTAGTGGATAAACAAATAAATGATTTGGACATACGTGACCTGACGTTGATTTATTATTTTAAGGAGATTGATTCAAGCTTTCGCAATGCATTAGAGAAAATTCATTAGACATGCCCTTTGCTGATGTGGAGTATATCCTTTGTTTGGTTAATTTACAAAGCACAAGTTGCAATTTTATCACTAATTAATTGGAGACAGCGAACGCACTTGTGTTGAAAACTGAGCAACTTTTGACAGACGAACAGCTAAGATACTTATGTAACAACGCTTACTGCATTATTTAATGTATAAGTTAACTTTTAAGCGTGTGTGAAGTGAGATTTAACTTATTTTCGACTTCGCAACATACTGTTTCGTTTCACCTTTAGCAAGAAATATAATATTCAATAGGCCAAAAGCAAAAAAATAAAAGTTTGAAATTTACCACTGTTTCTATGAAAGCTATTTCTTAAAAAACCAACAAAGCTAACGGTAAATACATTTTTGCTCTATCCCATTCGTACACGCAACGAAAAGGGAGAGAAGTGAAACAACAGAAACACGCGGACTGGCAGTGAAAATAGTTCGAGTATATTTCATTGTTTTTTATATTTAATTTTTGTTTTTCAGCTTTGGTCTTCATTTTATCATTTTCTTACTTTTATCAAATGTTTATTTTGGGTATAAACTTTCACGCCTATATCCAAATTATACAAGGTGCGTTCCAAAGTAAACAGTACTTTTTGAATCTGGCGCCCCCTGGTGGCGGCATCTATATGTTGACTGGTGCGTTTCATGACATTTCATTGATTGGAAGTGAAGTTATTGCGTTTTACGTGTCAGCATGTTTGTGTTATCGGTGCGAAAATGAGCTGTGAGCAAAGAGCCAACATTAAATTTTGCTTTAAAATTGGTGAAACTTTCTCCGAAACGTTTCAATTGGTGAAACAAGTTTATGGCGATGATTTGCTATCTTGTAGCAGAGTGCACGAGTAGTTTCATCGTTTTTAAAGTGGTCGTGAGGACTTAAATGGTGATCAATACGTGGGCCGTGATCATCGGAAATTCCATCGAAACTGTGCGTGAATTCATCAAAAATCAGGCGAAATCGTCATTGAAATTCATGGAAATGGAATTGAACATTTCCAAAATATCGATTTATCGTATTTGAAACGAACATTTGGGCTTACGAAAGGTGTGTGCACCATTTGTTCTGCACAAATTGACTGACGACCAAAAATTGCTTAGCATCCAACATTCGATGGACCGATTATTTGACCAAAAATCAAATTTTAAGCATTAACCATTCCTCGTATTCACCTGATACTGCGCAGTGCGACTTCTTCCTTTTCGGAAAAATGCATTTTCCCATGATAGGAAAGCGTTATGTAGGCACAAGGCTTTCACCGGCTTACCGGCGGCCAAAGAGCTAAACACTCCGTGCAAACAGCTGTATTGAGGTAGAAGGAGAATATTGAATAAAATAAATTGATTTTGCCGAAAAAACCATTTGTTCTGTTTTTTACTTTGGAACGCACCTTGTATACTTTTCTTAATTTTTGTAAAACTGAACAGGAAACCAGTGTTATCGACAAATGTGAACTTTTGATACTCTGTCGTCTATTATTCTTGCTTAAAGCAAACAAGCGTTAATCAACTGTTCCTATACGTAGGTTGTGGAAGACCTCCACTCCGTTGGAAGGACCAGGTGGAGAAGGGCTTGGCTTCACTGGGAATATCCAATTGGCGCCACGTAGCGAAAAGAAGAAACGACTGGCGCGCTGTTGTTAACTTGGCTATAATCGCGTAAGTGGTGTCTACGCCAATAAAAAAGAAGAAGATACGTAGGTTGCCTTTTACATTTCAGGATTCGGGGAAAAAAAATTGTTAATGATCAAAAATCGTGTTATTATTTTTCAAAATATTCTCCATTAAGATCCATAAACTTTTGCAACTGTCAAAGCACTTTTGATAATCTGATTGAGGTATCTCCAAAAACATACCTGTTCAGGTGTCGAAATACTTTGATCTCTACGTTTATCTTTTACGAACAGGAATAAAAAGAAGTCATACGCCAAGTCGCCACTATACGGTGGATGAGTCATCAAATCGATGTTTTCAGAGCTAAAAAAGGCAGGTCTTTCAGTCGATGTGTGAGAGCTTACATTGCGTGGTGAAGAGTGATCCAGTATCCGGCGGTTGGTTTTATAAATTTCAAAGACAACTGACAGACTTTATTGTTCAGTCTTGCTATAGTGGTATGGTAGCAACATGTTTAGTCGTTCCAAAAAAAGGGACTGCTTAGTTCGCGAACAACTCTTTCTGGATTCGACTCATTTTAAAGAACTCATGCAGTCGACTGATCCTTGTTTTCGGGAGCATACTCGTAAACCCACAAAGTACTCACTCTTCCGATGTCACAGTTGTGTTTCAAAGCACCGCTATCGTATTTCTCTCGACACAAGCTGTTATTTTTTGAGCGCTGAGCAAATTGATAGCTCATACAGCGATCGTGCAATATCAGCTTGCGTGCAGCGTTAATAGTGTCCGGAACAACAACTAATTTTGTACGACCTTCATGAAATTCGTCTTTGAGGGATCTACGACCTTAATAGAATTTAACATGCCACCGATAAACACTTGTTTTTTATGGAGCTTCATCGCCAAAAGTTTAAATAAGTTTATAGTGGTGCTGCTGCTGAGTTAGTCCATTCGAAAGTTTTAAAAAATTGTCGCTCGAAAATCTTTTCAATTTAATTTCATATAATATTTTACATTTTGCTCGAGGTGAATATTCTATATTACTGTAAGCAACTTAAATAGCGCTCGTATGTTAAAAATTACTTTCTTTACGATAAAGTTGTAAGTTGCCAGACTGCAACGCTAGGATTGCCAAATTTCGAAATTTAAAAGAAAACATTCATATTATAAGAAAGAATTTTGTTAACGTTAAGTTGTTTTTTATGCCGAAATAGTTGCTAATGGAACTCAGCCTGGAATTGCATAAGGTATCAAGTGATAATAAAGAAATTGAAAACGAAGAACTCAAATATGCAACAGAGATATTGAGAATTTTAGCATTTTTAAACTTTGGATCGCCCTAATGAGATTTATTGCATTATGGATTTATGCAGGCTCGTATATAGCGCTATGATACAAATATAATTATTCCACAGCCCACGCTTTCCGCACTCCGGAAACACCAACAGTGATGCGCAATGTTCATGCACGACTTGAAAGAAACAGAATTATTCTAAATCATAAATGTGCTGAGGAGTTCTCGCTCATGAAAATCGGTTAACAATTAAGCTTGATGATTTTGCGCGATTGCGCTCACGCTCACATTTTTTATGCATGACTGCAGCGCGAGTGGACGGCGAAGACGATTGCCAAACGCCCATCACGACGTCAGCCTGAGCAGCATGAAATAAAAGCTTAATTCATTAGTGATCTCGCGGCTCAGTTGCTTAAGGAACTAGTGCAAATAGAAATGAGCATATAGTTTGTTGTTGTTTTTATTGGCGTTTTTTATTGTTGTTGTCAATTATTTGAAATAAAATTGATAGGGCACGTTGATAGCTCACAACGCTAAGCGCAATCGGAGAATACGTGCTGCGACAGCAGAGCGACTTGATTACTGATCGTAAACAAAGCAAGGCCGCAGAAGTCGGAACGAAGTCGGAACGTGCACTGCTCGTACAGTTGACTGTGACACGAGAAACTGTAAGGTTGTAAGAGGCAGCCGGAAAACGCGCGCGCCCACAACGCGATACGGCAATTACACAATACTGTGCTACTTATGGAACTTTTATTTGCATCCGATAATTTAGCAAGTGCATAACCTAGTTAAAATGCGCGCCGGTCTCATTGTCTTCCTGCTGTTGCATCTAATTCTGCCGCTGCTCAGCTACGCCGACGCGGCGCGTAGCATGAATCGCCAGCAGTTGAAGACCATCGAACGGTATATGGATCCGAGCGCGGACCCCTGCGATGACTACTACCAGTATGCGTGTGGCAATTGGCAGCATGTGCACGCCGATGCGGAGTATTACGAAACGATCGGTCTCATCGACTACAAAGTGGATCAGGAATATGCGCTGTTATTGAATAGTATACGTCGGCGTCGACGTTTGCGGCAGGAACACGCCTTCGTGCGTAAGTTGCTCGACTACTACAAGTCCTGCCTGACAGTGTATGAATATACACCGCAGTTGTATCTCGATTGGTTGCAGGAGCACGAGCATTTGGCATGGCCGACAGTTTTGCCGAGTCGTTCCGCGAAGCGACGTGGAAAAATCCTTCGCTACGATTGGCTGCATATGCTGGCTGTGCTGCGCAAATATGGCATGAATTCGGTTTTCATCGAGGAGACGGTTATACAGCGACGAGATTATGCGCGTGCTTCGGCTATTGATTTGGATAAACCTGTGCTAAATGGTGGCTTTCAGCCAATGCCACATAAGGGCTTCCTCTTGATAATGGAATATTTGGGTGTGACGAATGAGGAACGTAAGAATAAACTGTGGGATGATTTGCATGAGTTCGAAACGAAGCTAAAGAGTTTGGATTTTGTGGAGGACACAACGGAAGAAGGCCAAGAGAGCGCAGCAGCTCAGCGCGAAACTACATTAGCAGAGCTGAATATGCCATTTTTGACGCGCTATTTGGATATCTTGCTAGAGAAGCCGGTGGATCCTTACATGAAACTGACCATACAAAACCTGCCATATATGCGCCTGCTGCTCACCGTGTTGGACGAGTATGAGCCCGAGTTCATTTGCCGCTATTTGATGCTGCGCTTTCTCTGGTATCTGAATATCGATGGACCGCGCAACTTTCTGAAAGGTGACTGCGTTTCACATACACGCAGTATGATGCCGCTGGCGATGACCTGGCTCTACGAACGTCACAATCCCGAACTCATCGATGAAAAGTCACACATTGAAGCGCTTTTTCAAAAGTTATTGCAACATTTTACACAAACACTGCACAGCAACGCCAATAGATTTGATGGACACATCTTACGTTTCTTGCAGGACAAAATCGATACGATGCGCATTAAGGTCGGCAACCTGCCACGCCCGGCCACTAGTCGGTTAGTCGAGGAGTTTTACGCTGACCTGCAAATCGAAGCAAATGACTTCTATGGCAATCATTTGCGCCTACTGCAACACTACACACGCGCCAAGCATAACCGCTTAAATGTGCTGCTTGCACAGGATGACTCCTTCTTTCACCTCGAGGATCCCGAAACGGGCGCCAGCTCTTCTCCGTACTATCTGCTGCGTTCAAATGTGGTTATTGTGCCGTTGACGCTGCTACACACGCCCATTTATCATCCACAAATGCACGAGATCTTCAAATACAGTTCGTTGGGTTTCCTTTTGTCGCACGAGATCACGCACGGCTTCGATGACAGCGGCGTTGAGTTCGACAAGCGCGGCAATATGCGTGGTCCCTCCGATCGCATCAAATCAAATCACAGGTTCGATTTGAACTTGAGCTGTTTGCGTTTACGAAATCCACAAATTGTCGATGAAAAAATAGCCGATGTCAGCGGTCTGCGCTGGGCGTACGAGGCGTACTTTCAGGGCAATCAAAGCAATCCTAACGCAAATGCGCGTCCACTGCATTTCACCAGCCTCTCACCGGAGCATGTTTTCTTTCTCAATTTCGCACAGTTCTTCTGCGGCTCTCCCGTCACCAGCTCGCGGGACCTAGAGTTCAGTGAGCATGGCTCAGATAAAGAGCGCGTCTTGGATGCGCTAGCGAACTTCGCCGAGTTCGGACGCGTGTATGACTGCCAAGTGGGCAGTCGCATGCATCCACCGCGAAAATGCCAACTTTGGAGGTAGCAAAGGCACTAAGCGACGAAGCCAAGGAACTTCCTTGTAGGCTTGTGTATTAAAACTTAATTTTTGTATATACTGAAAGTTGTGTTAGTTACTATTGAAATTAGCAAACCTAAAGTTAAGGTGTAAATAAAAATGTATATAAAATAATTAAATTTAAATATAACTAAAACTTAAATTAAGTAATTAAATGTGCTGGATCAGACGGAACCCTCGTAATAATATGCGCGTGTGTGTTGTTCAACATGTTGTCATTGCAAAATGATAATATAAAGTTATATGTATAATATAATATATAGAAATCATATGAATAAGCGGTTACAACTATACGCTATAAATAAACAAAAGCTTTGTTTAATCAAATAACGTAATCATCTGTGCCTTATCAGTTTTTTGAAATTTGTTGCTGTAGCGCCACAGTCACACACATTCTCGATTCCATTGAAAACGAAGTGCCTGTGAGGTTTTGAAACAATTTCCTGGTATGTACATATGTATAACGGTGGATTATATACACATTTATAAGTAGAGATTTTGCAGTAGGTGGATTGACCCAAGTGACCTCCAGCTTTCGTTTTGTTTGGTTTATTCTTGGCTCTTCTGCGGATATCATATTAAATTTTTGCCATTAAATATTAATCTGGAAAATAGTACAACAATAGCAATCGCTGTGAAATGGAACAAAGAAAATATAATATGTGGTATAAAAAGTGTTTCATTGAGGGAAACTAGTTTTAAGCAACACTTGAGATTATTTGTAGTTTCACATTTTAAAGAATTTTTAAAATTATACCGTTAAAAAAATCCTGAACTAAACACAACCTCACATTTTGTTACATCGACGTCATACTATCCATCACAATTACAAAAGATTCTTTACAAAAACTGTGATCGGCCAGTTTGTATGGCAGCTCTGTGCTAGAGTGACTCGGAATAACTCATGCAAAATTGTATGAATTGTGCGCCATAGAGTAGGCATTAACCCGTTCCAAATTTGTTCAAGATATCATGACAAATGAAACAGTTTTCCATATAAGCACTTTATTCCCCCCGTTTCAGCTATATGCTATAGTGCTCCGATAACGGACATTCCGACAAATGTGTAGCTTCTTGGTCAAAAACGGTCGGGGGGCAAAACTGAGGGGCTGGTTCGGATATATGTATATATGTAGATGACTTATCATTACGGTACACATTCATGATGCACGAAACCATGGATATCGAAAAAACTTTTTAATATTTTCATAACTTTAAGAGGTCGAAAATCGTCCACAACGAGGCATACTATATATTCAACGAACTCTCAACGGTCTTTAAAGGCCTTGTAGCAGTCGTAACTTATGCTTTTGATAAAACTAAATCATCGTAAGGTTTTTCCAACATTCGCAACAACTCAGCACATGAAATTTGGTTAGAAATACAAAATTTTAGACAAATTCTTTCTTCAATACTTTTTTTTACATTTAATAATTGCAACGCACTACTAAGGTGTATCGTCTTAAGCAGCTGCCGTAAACCAACTCGCTACCAAATCGCGCTCATATTTGGTATAACCATTAACGACAGTCCTACAGATAAAGCAAAATACATTTTTTGGAAATAATTCAATTACTGTTTCCGGGTGCTTTTTGTCACAATGTCTACATATGTATACCATTTTATAGCGTCTCCGACGTTTTCTTCAGGGTGTACAAACTGCATAGCAAACTTAATACAGCCTGTTCAGGCTATAAAAATGTGCGGTGCCTTCAAAGTTATAAAAAGGTTAAATTAAATTATATGCTATCAATAGTTATAGTGTAGAAGATAGTGACAAAAACGAACTGCCAAATGTCATAATAATTGTAAGCAAAACCTTCCCCTGCTTCTTTTATGGCGCAATGATTTAAACCAAAAAAACGAAGTCTCTATTTCTGTCTTCCTTGTGTCATATAACAATGTTTACTATCTACTACGCGGACTCTTTAGAATTTGTTGTTGTATTATATGAGAACTTTTATTCACTGTAAACATTTAATTTGTCGTAAAAACTATTTTCCGCATCAAATGCCGAATAATAAGCGATAAGTCAACAATAATGCATATTCATTCATTTTTTGGCAACCGTTTCTTGATTCAAATGATCTTGGAATCACTTTTTACATAGTAATATTTTATATAATGTAAATGAAAGTGGAGTAGATGCTAGAATGCAGTATTTTACACAAAAGAGGGTGGTGTTAATATAATTGTCCATGTCGTCCATTTTAATATGCAGTCCTTGCGTGGAATCTTTGCTTGGAAGTGATGGCTGATTTTCAACCCTTTTCAGATATCTAAAATTTTGTTTTTAGTTGTAATCAAGTATCATCAAAAATATTAGTGGTTAACTTAAGTTGCTGGATCATTGGTAGGACTGCTAAATTGGCCAATGAATTTTCGGTAAAAATACAAGTTTCTAACGCGAGCCGGTTGCATCCAGATACATACATGCCCGTAGCAGCCGGCCCTATCATGTGAAACAGATGCAATGTCTTCTCTCGCGTATGGATTGTGTAATGTGGGTTGCTTTAGATTCGGTACATATATTAGACCTCACTGATTTGGGAGGCTATACGTTAACTGCGCTATTAACAACATCGCTGTCAGGATGATTGCACTTAATTGGCCCTCTTGCCGCAACAATACAACAATCCACAAAGAGTTTAGTTTAGGTGTTACAAGTAACTCATAGTAAAAAAAAAATATGTAAAAGATAACCGCAAAACTTTATTGCGATATAAATAAGGAAGGGTTATGTACGGCTTTAAGTGAACATTTCATACTCTTGCAAGAATACCTTAAGCTGTAAAACGTCAACCAGAGGATCGCAATCCAAGAAATTTTATATACATATAGTATATGTAGTACTCTATGGGAATTGCGTAACCAATTTTACATATTTTTGACATGCATAAACTATAATATATCCAATTGTAAAATGATAAGTTATTTTTGACGAAAGTTTGAAGAACGGTTTTAGGAGATTATCAATAAGCCACAGACTAATAAAATGCTTTCATTGAACAAGGTTTCTCACAAACAATTACCAAATTTCGTCCAATTTTATCCACGCTCTCTCCATTTTTTTAAGATAGCTCACATATTGGCCGATATATTCTGTATAAAATCACCCCAAAGTTCGAAGAATTTTATATTAGGTGATCGATGTAGAGGTACTTCGTTGAATAGCCTTTTTTTTACAGATCATGCGTTTGGCGCGTCAAGCTGTCGTGTTATTTTTGTTCAGTATTATTTGGCATTTCATCATGGAAAGACTTACGAGCGAACAACGTTTGCAAATACTTCAACTTTGTTACGAAAGAGTGTACTATTCCACACACCATCATCCATCTGGAGACCCGGCATTCATTATGGGATAATATTCACCGAAAAGACCAAGTCCAGCACGCATTGAACGCAAGAAAATATTGCAGCCGTAGCAGAGAGTGTACACGAAAAACGTGAAAAGTGGATTCGCCGCCGTTCGCAGCAACTCGTACTAACGTATGGAACGATTTGGTGCATTTTACGTCGAGATATTAAATGCAAAGCGTACAAATTACAACTTATGCAATAGCTTAAGCCGCTCCACCTTCCCAAGTTACTACGCTTCTCTATGGGCTCTTGAAAAGTTCTAAGAAGCTCCGACGTTTTCGCACCTAATTTTCTTAAACGATGAGGCTCCCTTCTGGCTTAATGGGTATATATACAAGCAATATTGCCACATTTGGGACGAAGAATAACCTGAAGAGATTGAAGAGCTGCATTTCATCAATAAAAACAACGGTTAGGTATGGTTTGTGAGCCGATGGAATCATCAGTCCCTGGTGAGAACGTAACTGTCAATGATGACCCTTATAGCGCCACGATAATCGATTATTTGATGCCTGAACTAGAAGCTCGTAATATGAGCGACATTTGGTCTCAGCAATGGATTTATTGAGAGCACACTTCGGTGAGCAGCTAACTTCACGTTTTGGACTGGTCGATTAGCCAACAATATAGTGTGATATCACACCGTTAGACGTTCTCACTTGGGGAAATCTAAAATTTAAAATATTTGCGGACAATCAAGATTTGACTGAACTCTTGGAGCAAAACATCACGAGTTCCAGTCGTCCAGTCCAACTACCAGTCGAAATGCTCGAACCAGTGATCGAAAATTGAACTGAATGAATGAACCATCTGAGACGTAGGCACGGCCAACACTTGAAAAAAGATAATTTTCAACAACTAATTGCCAAAGAATGATCTTTTGAACGATAATAAACAGTCCCCATTAAATTTGAAGTATCTTTGTATCGTTACATGGAGAGTGAGTGGGGTTATCAGCAAATTTAATTAATCTTCACACTCTCGGAAGGAGTTCTTATGGTATTGTTGCTGAACAAATTTTACTGTTGTACTAGCTTATTTGTAATAGTTTAGGAGATATATGCATTAAGCTTATTAGAGCGCGGAGCCACTGCGATCCCCTGTGCCAAATCTTATATCTTAATATAGTGATTAGTTATGGGTTCTCTGGCGTGACAGTGGTAAGGCACATCTACGATCTCGCCCTCTTTTGCCAAGTAATCATTCTCTAGTTACAGCTTGTACGGACGGACGGACAGACAGACAGACAATCACATAATTTATATATATATATAAATTATACATATATATATTAATCTCGATTAGTTTTAAGTAACCCCAACGACAGTTTGGTAAAAAATCCATTATACTCTGGAGAAACAGGTTGCAAAGGTATAATAATGTTGACATAAATCAACATTCTTTATTAAGTGCAATGGTAAAACAATTTAACCCATCGCAAATAAAAATTTTTAATTGATATATAGTAAAAACCGAGATCTATTATACTCTGTGCCTATATAATTTTACAATCTAAGGTAAGGTGTGGAGCGATATTAACCGGCTACGTTATCAAACCACCCTGTCCTGAGCGAAGCATTTTTTCTCTATTGTAATAAAATTCATTGGATGTGACAAGCTTTAACTTCTTTGATGGTTCCGTTATCTAAAGTACTTCAATTAATATAAGTCAATGCGATCAAAGAGGTGTTAATGGAAATGTGTACGAACAATGTCATTGTGATATATCAGATCTTCTTTGTGAAATGTTACCATCCATTTACTACTAAACTCACGCTTTGAAGTAGCATTAAATGGGCGAATTTGTGGTTCTGTCTAGTTGTTGTTCATAGATCTATGCATGTTGTTAAGATTTATTTTTTATAAGGTAAATTGCGAAAGTACTTGTATATTCGATAAAAAAAAAAAACCCATACATGTATTATTCCAGTGCGACACAACCAGCTTCATTTTGTTTAAACATAGTTATCTTATCT